GTAAAATTGTCTACACTAATCATTGATGTACTTCAGCGAATATAGATATTTCAATCTAGGTTATACCAAGACAGTGATGGTTGATTAACATCATTTGCCTACCAAGGGTAGTCATGGACATGAACTGCAAGATCCTTGCACCACTGTAAAATTGTCTACACTAATCATTGATGTACTTCAGCGAATATAGATATTTCAATCTAGGTTATACCAAGACAGTGATGGTTGATTAACATCATTTGCCTACCAAGGGTAGTCATGGACATGAACTGCAAGATCCTTGCACCACTGTAAAATTGTCTACACTAATCATTGATGTACTTCAGCGAATATAGATATTTCAATCTAGGTTATACCAAGACAGTGATGGTTGATTAACATCATTTGCCTACCAAGGGTAGTCATGGACATGAACTGCAAGATCCTTGCACCACTGTAAAATTGTCTACACTAATCATTGATGTACTTCAGCGAATATAGATATTTCAATCTAGGTTATACCAAGACAGTGATGGTTGATTAACATCATTTGCCTACCAAGGGTAGTCATGGACATGAACTGCAAGATCCTTGCACCACTGTAAAATTGTCTACACTAATCATTGATGTACTTCAGCGAATATAGATATTTCAATCTAGGTTATACCAAGACAGTGATGGTTGATTAACATCATTTGCCTACCAAGGGTAGTCATGGACATGAACTGCAAGATCCTTGCACCACTGTAAAATTGTCTACACTAATCATTGATGTACTTCAGCGAATATAGATATTTCAATCTAGGTTATACCAAGACAGTGATGGTTGATTAACATCATTTGCCTACCAAGGGTAGTCATGGACATGAACTGCAAGATCCTTGCACCACTGTAAAATTGTCTACACTAATCATTGATGTACTTCAGCGAATATAGATATTTCAATCTAGGTTATACCAAGACAGTGATGGTTGATTAACATCATTTGCCTACCAAGGGTAGTCATGGACATGAACTGCAAGATCCTTGCACTACTATAAAATTGTCTACACTAATGATGATGTACTTCAGCGAAAATACAGATTTCAATCTAAGTTATACCAAAACAGTGATGGTTGATTAACATCATTTGCTAAAATGAATAGTAGGTTGCATTACCAATTAGATATTTACATCACTTCTTGTAGTTGTCACATCTACAGTTCTTTATCTTTGTCAGGCTAAAGAGCAAAGACATCAAATTAAAATTATACATGCAAGGTACAAGATACAGAATGCAGCTGACAAAAGATGATTTGTTTGCTTTTTTAGATTTTTTGGATGATGTGACTGGGTAGGAGTTGGTTTTTCTTTTGGGTTATTCCATTCTCATTGCATCATCTTGATGCTTTCTCAATAAAATTTGCCCATTTATTTATCAAAAAAAAAAAAAAAGATGATTTGGATAATCATAGGCCACAATAATAAAAAGTGTACCAATGAAGTTGAAGTCAACCTATGAAAGAGTTGCTAGACTTTGAATCCTGCTTTTGGTCAAGTAAAGCATCATAATTTATTCAGTAGGCTATGAGCATCTTAAATACTTCATTCTAGATGCAAAAAATGCAATGTCTTATTCTATGCTACAAGAAAGTAGAACCAAACCCGACAATGATCATCATTCAATGGTTGGTTGGAGCGAATTATCTGATGAAGATCGGTGTCCAGTAATTCATAAACAATGTAGACATCATTGAAGTTCTCCTTTAGTGGAGGCCGTATAATATCTTTGATTGCAATGACCTGAAGCACAGAAAAAATTGAGCAATATGCATATGATTGCAACAGAATAGCAAACGTAACATTTTAAGCTTTTAAAGAAATTCAGATAATCACGGTGAACAGCAACATAAGTCCATGCAAGGAAACTGAAAGCAATTTACAAACTGAAGATATCTCGATAAATGAAAATTCTCCTAAAAACATGCGTTAAATTAGCTCTACATTTAGTTTTTTTTAATAACGAAAAGCATTTATAATCCACAAGCAATGAATTCGACGTATATTTCATATCTATGTTCATAAAATCCTAAAATTATGTGCTTATTCTAATTATTGATTCAATTAATGCAACCGGACTAAAAGGGGCCCTAGAATGGATTTAGCTGTAGATGAGAGCTCTAGAATTAGAATTTAAAAGCTTTGTTTGGTTACAATTCTCAAAAACTACTTTTAAACGGGTTTTTGTTTGTCTTTACTGAACTTTTTTCATATTTTAGTCTCTTCTTCTTCTTCTTTTTTTTTTTTTTTTTTTTTTTTTTTTTTTTTTTTTGTAGATACATCAAGATTAGATGCATCTAAAATGTAAAAAAAAATTAACTAAATATGAAAAAAATTCACTAAAAACAAACAAAAATCCAAACAAAAATGTAAAAAGATTTTGTTCGAATTTTCTTCCATTTTTAGTTTTTTAAAAAAGAAAATATTTTAGTCAATTTATTTTACTTTTTAGATGCATCTTAATTAGATGCATCTAAAATGTACAAAGAATTGATTAAAATATTTTTAAAAAAATCACTAAAAATAAACTAAAACTCATTTAAAAACAATTTTTGAAAAATCAAACAAAACAGACAAATTTTGTGACGTTCAGATAGCTATGCAATCTATTAAATTACCTTAGTTGAGGAATGAATCCCATAATAAACAAAAAAAATTTCAAAATCAAAAGTGGCTCTAGCCTCACTTTGGATTATTTTGAGATGTTAAAAACAAGCTAGACCTTTTATCAAAGCTATCTTCTATTTTTGGAAACAAAGAAGAAACTCTTTGACAAACAAACGAAAGTTGCCATATTATCCAATCATCGGAAATCTTTCCATATATGTGTTTTACACATGCAATTAACATCTCTAAACTGATATAAAGATTTCATATTGACTATGTGCACTCACTAGCTTACAAACAGCTGATAGCCTGCAAATTTCTGCATAACTTAATTAACACTTCTTGATCACAAAAGTGCACCAAAAGTGGCAGGGGAGGAGAAACCTAGTTGCGCATAGTAAGTAGTCCCCATGTACTAAGCCTTTAAGTCAGACAAAATACCTTTGTTATACAATTACAGTACAAACTACCAAGCAACTGAAGAAGTAACAGGTAATCATTCTTTTTCTTTTCATTTTTCTCCCTTTTTTGGGGTGATTGACTCGGTGCTTTATGGGTAGGGTTAGAGAATTTTTCGAGCTTCTAAATAAAAAATCTCATTTAAATGATGAAAGCATTAAAGTTAAATAATTAGATGACTGCTTTCAGTATTCACCCAAAATATGCTAGCTTATTCTCGAAATGCACTTTGGCACCGTATTGTGCCTAAAAGTTGAAATAATTGAAGTTTGATTCCTTGTATTTGAAATGTGTGTATTCTGTACATATATCACCTTCATATGAAGTTCAGACTAGCTGTTACCGAGCAAGGTAAGAGCAGCATGCTCAATCTGGATGGGGAAATAGACTTCTTCTATTTATTTGGGTAGAAAACATTTTCTACGGAAATTTTTTTTCAAAAAATGTTTTCTGGTGGCGGTGGAATGAAGGTGGTGGCATAGCAACAACGGTGATAGCGACAGTGATGATGGTAGTGACTGTGGTGATGGTGGTGTCGTGGTGGTGGTGGTGGTGGTGGTGGTGTGACATTGGTAAAACTTCAGTTCAAAAAACATTTTCTGCCTTTTAAAAATCGAAAACATTTTCTGGCCATATAGTAGGGGTGTTCAAGGATCCGAACCACCCGAAAAACCGACCCAAACCGCCTAACCCAACCCACTACAGGCGGTTTCGAAAGTGGTTTCGAAAGCTTGTGTGGTTGGCTTCGGTTGAAATCTTGTGTTTTTTTTCTAGATTTTGGTCGGCAATGGATTTGGTAGACAAAAACCCGATTGATCCGAGCCGACCGCATATATATATATCTCTGACGAAGATACGAAAAGTTCTGCAACCTTTCATAAATGGGCTTTTTATCTTCTCAAGATTTTATATATTTTCAATATTATTTTTATATATTGTCATTGTTACCTTTCCAAGACAAGAAGTCTTGTCACCTCCAATTAATCTGACCATTTCTAATCCACAGTGTCTTATTCTCTTCCCAAGATAGACTTCTTTTTTTATTATTATATTTTGAATTTCGTTCTTAGCCTTTCTCTCTAACCCTCTGGTCTCCCCCTTTTCTTCTCTCAACATCTTTCAACCCCCTATTTTTCTTTAACCCTTAGCCTTTCACAGTGTCTTATTCCCTTCCAAATTTTATTGTTATTTTGAGCTTCATTCTTATCCTTTCTCTTTCTAACCCTCTAGTCTCCCACTTCTCTTCTTTCAACCCTCTCCTCTCTCGCCTGTTTGATTCGTCTCTCTCAGACTCTCACCATTGTCTTCCTCTCACTGTGTATTTCACCCTCTCTGAGAAACTCCGTCTCCCTCCTAGTCTCTCTCATGTAAAACCCTTCTTTCTTCTCTTAATCTCCCTCTGCTGGCAGCAATGGTGTTAATCGACGATGATAACGATGCTCAAATCTATGAGATGATGCTCAAATCGAAGCGAAGTTGGGTCTCTATACTCTCAGATCTGTTTTCATGTTTAATATTTTAAGATCTGTCTTTATACCCTCAGATCTGTCTTCTTTTCACTCCATTTACTTTCACCAACCGAACTGACCGCCAATTCGAATGGTGAGTCGTGGTCGATTTCGAATGTATTCTCGGTCTGCAGCGAGTGACAAGTTTGCAAAACCGATATGGTCGGTTTGGCTGGCAGGTTGAGGGTACACCCAAGCCAAACCAACCCGTCCCGTGAACACCCCTACCATATAGGCTTGTTTTCTGTTGACCACGGAAAATGTTTTCTGTTGACTTTCGTTTTCTATTGTACCAAACACCAGAAAATATGGAAAACATTTTCCAAAAAATATTTTCATCCAAACAAACGGATTCACATAAATTATAATTCTATGATATTGTAAATGATTCAAAATAAAATAAATAAATAAAAACTTCATCTCAGAGTACATAATACCTAGTACATCAGACATACATGAGAGCATATGGATTCTTCTTTTGCATATACAAGTTTTGATATAAACACAAAATTATATATTCCAGAAATTCATTTTAACACCACAGAAAGGCTCTTTTATTATTTATTTATTTGCTTTTTTTCCTTTTTTTTTAACGGGAAGAATACAATGGAACAACAACAAAAAGAAAGTAGGATGCTGCAGGTTCAGGATCTTTATGTTCTCTATCAAGAAGCTCTCGTAGAATACTATCAGATATAAGAAGCACCAACATATAGGAGCATTTCTACAGCAGCAATATTTCCTCATAGTCAAGATTACTCATCATTTGTGCATGGTATTCAGCTCAAGTCAGATGTGTAATTTTGGGATGGAGGAAATCAAAATAAACAACTACTTACCAAACAAAATTTCTACAACAGCCCTGTTTCCTTTGCATGAAGATTACACATGAATCGTGCACAGTATTTAGCTTAAGTAAGACATGCAAATTCTAAACATTAGCTAATCTTAAAAATTGTGTAATGGTTGCAAAATTTAAAACATTTGCAGGTAGGGTTCTGAATATTTTTTGCAAAATATATGCTTGCCCATTAAGTCTAGCTCTATTATTATAGCTCAATAGTTTCAGACATAGTACCAAAATAGGAAAGCAGAAACAAAAAATGATACGAGATGCGAAAGCCAGAAACGTGGCCAAGAAATATATGAAAAACAGGAGGTAGCAAAACAATTAAGAATTGAAATGTGAAACCTAATAGGAATCCTAGCAAGAAACTTTTGAAAAAAAAAAATTACTACTAGAAAACTAAATGAATATTTTAAATTATAACATATCACACGCTTAATTGAAACTTGGGGAGAAACAATAAGAAAACTAAGGACAATCACTTGTGGTTGTGGTCGTGGATCACTGTAGGAAGCAAATAGGAAACAAATAAAAAATGCATCATATTTTTTAGTTTCTTCGGAGTAGTTTCTGCAGGGTTTCTAAGCAGTTTCCAAAAAGTTCCTTCCAAATTTCTCCTTAGTTTCTTTAGAGTTTCCCTTGAGTTTCTGGCTCACATTGAATATGTTTTCCAAAATTACATCATACCCATATTGGAAGTGTGCCTCCACACTTCTCCAGAAGCATGTTTCTTCTCTCAAACAAAATGTCCTAGTAACTATGATTTGGGAAAGAACTAGTTCAACACATTTATTGCTTGATAAGTGGAAGGCCTTCAACAAAGAAGCAACACGGGGTGTGGGTGTTGCACGAGTATACGAGAAGTACTTAAAGCAAAAACTTTCCACGAGAATCCATACTATCCACAAAATCAAGAGATTGATTAATCCTCCCCCTGACCTAACCTCATTATGTAAAGACACAAAATATATACGTATACTTTTCAATTTATATGACAGTTATATCTCCAACTATGTTCCTAATTTGCTCATAAAAACAAATATATATATATAAAAAAAAAAGGGACAAATCCAGCACCATATTTGGCATAATGCAGTTAACACAAAATGATACAGCAGCAAGGGGACCACATCTCACTTGCCACTTTTATGGTGAATTAACAGATGATCCACTAATTCCTCCCACACCTTGCACATGCAAAACCAGAGTATATACTTGCCCTTAAATCAAGTTATACTGGTCGACTACAGTCTACATCATGACAGCTCCCTTGAAATTTTTCTGCTAGAATGAACATTACATCTATAGATGTATTGCTTAAACCTAGAAAAATGAGAAATAGAAAAGCAAGCAGTAAAAGAAAATGAAAATCTATTTATTAAGGCTAAGCACAATTATGTCACTGCACATAAATATCTGAAGCGGAAAAGGAACCCAATTCATAAATCACTACAAACAGAAAAAATAAAAGATGCACGAGACCAAGTAGACAATCCTAGTAGTTATAAAGGTAATAGGACTCACATTTTCATGATCCATGTGGCGAAGAAGCTTAATTTCTCTTAGTGTCCTTTTGGCATCTATTCTATTGTCAAATGCATTACCAATCTTCTTAATTGCAACTTCCTCACGTGTCTCCGAGTTCACAGCAGCACTGAAGCAAATTAAAAAGTCACAGTTTTCCTTCACATTTTTTTGTAAAACAAAGAAAAATAAGTCAAATTGACGAACACTGCCTCAAAGCCAGTACGTAAACCCAATAGATTCCAAAAGCTCCACAATCTTACATGTGAAATTGATAATCCTACACACAATGAGCTGGTGAGTGTGAGACTTTAATGGACACTTCAAACTAACTACTGTTTAATGATATCTAAAAAGGCTTCCTGTCCAAGGAAGCATAACTTTCGGATGCGCAAGGAAACATGCTATACTACAGAAACTAAAGCAAATGTAGTTTTAATGTTACTAATAGTGAAATATATACATGCACAAGTATATCCCATATGGATAGGTGTGTCCCTATTTGTAGAAATTGTCAACCCCCAATCTCTAACAAGTGAAAATGAATCACCAAATAGTGAAAATTAGAGAAGAGAATCTCAAGTTATCAACATTAGTTCCAAGGAAGTAAATGTTGTGTTCCATTTCCGAAACATGAAATGAGATGAGATAATCTATTCTATTGTCAAATAATGGTGTCTACATAGAATGACAAATAGATTAAACAAAAATAAAAAATACTTGAATGACAAAAATAAAAATAATGGTGTCTACATAGAATGACAATAAAACGTACTGTCCACAAAGCAAACATGCAATTAAGCATGAGTGAAAGATTAAGCAAGCCCAAGTCATATTTGCCACACAAGGAAGGAACTCAAGCATCATTAATCACTAAATTGAATATAGGCCAACCCAGTCAAATACTATCACTTTCTCTTATTGATTTCCAGTCAGTGCAAAAAGTAAGTTATCAACATTAATTCAATAAAATAAATATTGTATTCCATTTCCGACACACAAATACTTGTTTGGATCTTGACTTTTTCAAGGGAAATGAAATGAAAGAATCTAAATTCCTTGTCCTTGTTTGATTAGGTTGGAAAAAATGAGAAGGAAACAAATAGGCATTTCTTAAGAAATTCAAATTTTCCCTTTGGTTACCCATAAAATTTTAAAAAAACATACAAACAAACAAACTAGGATCTTGTCAACGTGTGCTCTTAATGCACGTGCTAAGAAATCTCCAAAAGATTGTACAATTTTATGCAATATGTACGAGTCATTTAAGCTTCTTAACGAGTGTCCTAAGGACACACATTAACAAAATCCTAAAAATAAATAATTAATCAAGTAAATATATATATATATATATATATTTGTAGCCAGTAGTAATTTCATTTCCCTATTCTTTTCATTTCCCTTTAGAGTTCCAAAAATAGCACCTAGTTACATGATTGCATAAAACTAGATATTGAAGATTGAAATAAAGCCTAAAGTTAACCAAACCAAACCAAACTAGCCTTAAGTCCGATTGAAATAAAGCCTAAAGTTAACCAAACCAAACCAAACTAGCCTTAAGTCCCATCAAATGGGGTCGGCTACAGGAATCTTTCTTCCCCACTCAACTCTATCGACGACTATTTGGTTAGTCAAATTAAGGAGATTCATATCTCTATTTACTACTCACCCACGTCAATCTAAGTCTGCCTCTTCCCCTAACACTTTCATCTACCATCACTGTATCACATCTCTTCACTACTACATCCGTTGGCCTCCGTTGTATATGACCAAACCATCTTAATCTACTCTCTTTCAATTTATCTTCTATTAGTGTTACTCCTACCCATTTATGAATAAGCTCGTTTCTAATTCTGTCTTTTCTAATCTTGCCACACATCCACCTTAACTCATCTCAGCAACACTCATCTTATCTACATGTTGTTTCTTAGTTGCCCAACATTCTGTCTTATACAACATCGCTGATCTAATAGCCGTTATATAGAACTTTCCTTTTAGTCTAAGGGATATTCATTTGTCACATAGTACCCCAGACACACTCCTCCACTTAAGCCATCTTGCCTTAATTCTATGGACCACATCCGCTACAATCTCCCCTACCGTTGTGATAATCGATCCTAAATAACGAAAATATTCACTCTTAGGTAGTTCTTGGTTTTCAATCTGCACTTCTCCTCTTCTTCCATTGTTGCTATTACTAAAATTATACCCATATACTCTATTTTTGTTCTGCTTATCCTAAATCCTTTATATCCAAGTGTTTCTCTCCACATCTCGAACTTAGTGTTAACTCCTTTTCTAGTCTCATCCACTAACAAGATATCATCTGCAAAGAGCATACACCATGGTACATCATCCTGAATATTTCTGATTAACTCATCCATAACTAAAGTAAAAAGATAAGGACTTAAGGTTGATCCTTGGTGTAACCCATAGTAATTGAAAATTCACTTGTCTCTCTAGCAGACGATCTAATAGTGGTCACCACACCTTCATAGATGTCTCTAATAACATCAATGTATAACGTACCCTTTTGTCACCCCTTTGTTCTCTAACACTCTCCAAATTATATCCCGAGGCACTCTATCATATACTTTCTTAAGATCGATAAAAACCATATAAATGACTCTTTTTCTTTTCTCTATACTTTTTTATTACTTTCCTCAAAAGATAGAACGCTTCCATTGTTGACCTACTGAGCATAAATCCAAATTGATTCTTTGACACTTCTGTTTAATCTTGCAATCGATGTTTCATCACTATCTCCCACACTTTTATTATATGACACATCAACTTGATTCCTCTACAGTTTTTGCAATTCTGAACATTTCCTTTATTCTTATAGATTGGCACTAAAATCCTCTTCTTCCACTTCTCTGACATTTTCTCAGTCAACAAAATCTTGCTAAATAACCTTCTCAACTAAGCAACTCCCTTTTTATCCAAACATTTCCAAGCTTCAATAGGAATATCATCAGGTCTTAAAACTTTATTTGATTTTATCTTTTTTAATTGCAATCTCCACTTCAAAATTCTTAATCCTATGATAGAACCTATAGTCTTGGTTTTTCTTATTACTGGCTACTTCCTCTCCTTTTGACCTACCTCTATGTTCCTCATTTAACAACTTCTTAAAATAGTTTTTCCACCTCTCCTTAATCTCTTCATCCTTCATCAACACCTTAGAGTTCTCACTTTTCATGCACTTAACTGATTAAAATCTCTTGTTTTTCTCTCTCTCATCTTAGCAAGTTTGTATATTCTCTTCTCTCCCTCCTTATTATCTAGTCTAGTGTATAGGTCATCGTAGACTTTCAACTTAGCCTCTCTCACTACTTTTTTGACTTCCTCATTAGACAATCTATAGCTCTTAAGGTTTTCCTCAATTTTATCCTTTTGTTACTTTTTAAAGCACTATTTTTTCGTCTTTACCTATGTTACTTAGAACGTGGATCGTTCCGGTACATGGAATGAGAACAAGAACGGGAACGGGAGTGTGAACGTGAACTTGGTACGCCACATACTCTAAAATATGGTACAATAAGAGTAGACTTATATATATATATATATATATTACACTTAAGAATTCAAGACACTTGTAAAATAATTTTCTTTTAACTATTAGGTATCTAATAATTTTTATTTTTATTTTTTATGTAACAAATCATTTCTATGAAAATTATGACCCATTTTTGATTTTTTGTTTTTTCAAAACTTAATTCACCTTAGATTTTGGTTCATATATTTGATTTGTTTTTTCTCCTAAGATAACATTTAAGGAAATATATTAAAAAAACTTTTGGAATCACTTTAGATCACTAAATTTATTATTTTGTAACAAAAATGTACCATGCTTCGGAACATACATACCAATACGTAATTTGCTTGACTATTAGCATTTTCTGATACCATAGGTATTTATTACCGCTTGAACCTCCTTCCTCCATCACCAAGTTTCCTTAGAGTGAGGTCCCGTTACTTTCGACTGTCCAGGACTTCCCATCAGATTCTCCTCATACAAATAAACCCTAAAGTTCTATATAAAAATAATGATAATAATAATAAAATAAAATACGTGATCCAACTTCAGTAATCACATTCTCAAAGCTTTAAAAAAAAAAAGAAAAAAAGAAAGATATTGAATGGCTCTGAATCTCAGCAAAACATGATCTAGAAAAAAATAAAACAAAATTAAAATTACTACGCAACGAACTACTATTCTTCAGATATATCTAAAAACCCACTTAAATTCGAGCCCAATTAGAGCAATCTGAATCTTCACACGAACATAAACATCAAAACTAACACATCTACACAACCAATTACATAACTACGAATAAGAAAACAGCTAAAGAAGTCGAACCCAATTCAAGCCCTTACCAAACGATGCCGTAAGCACCACGACCCACAGGACGAATCGGAGGGACATACTTTCTGGAAACTTCGAAGAGGTTACCGTACACATTGTACTGCACATACCGTCCACCGTGGGTTGGGACTCCTTTGATATTCCCATCAGCTGCTGAAGAAGCAGAGCTCGCTGACTCCATAGATACCAAATTCCCAAAAACAAAAAAAATAAAATAAAAACTCAGAAATTGAGAGAATTGTCGGCGAATTGACCGGAGGAGTAGCTATATTGATGTCGGAAGGGGTCTGCGATTGAGCAGCTTTTTTGACATTTCTTTGGTCGTTGCTTGGGAGGTGGGTGGCGGTGAATGGTTGTTTGTGACTATTCTTTTTCTTTTTCTACACAGAGACAGAAAGAAACAGAGAGAAAATGTGACTTTTTAACTGGAAACTACTGCCATTACCCGTGAAGTGATCAACCTCTTTTTGGGTGGGGCTGGGGAAAAATTAAAAAAAATAATTGATAGTTTAAATTTGATAGTTCAAAGTTATTTATAAGCTTTTAACTTATCTTTTTATTTTACAAAAAAGTTAAAAAAATTAAAAAGTAATTTTTAATTATTTTTTCAAAACATCCCTTTGTCTGAAAGTTTGAGTTTATACTTGTCAGTCGATCGTCTAGACGATTACTCAGACGATCGGTGAAATATTTGTCTATCGCAATTGTTATCCTTGTCAAATGTGGCTTTCATTTTCTTTTCAAACGACCAGTTAGATGATCGGCCGGACGATCGATAAGTCAAAATTCAAACGATTTCAGACAAACTCATATTCAAGTTACCAATCAGTACCGAAAAAATTATGGAGGAATTAGTTATCAATTGTTGGGCAGAAAATGAAATTATGCAAAGATGGAAGGGTACAAGGCTTTTTACTTGTACCCCATCACAAAATTGTTTGTATTTTCCATATTTTTATAATTTTTTTCTCCACTTCACTGTTAAATTATTTCACTAAAAATTATTACTTGGTACATGTGGCAAAACATTAATAGTAAGGGCACATGTGACTATGTTCTGGCCAATCACAAATTTTCATGTCTTTTTATGTTTTCAATCACCAAACACAATCGCGAGTCCTATCATCTCTACCAATCAAAGCACAAGTGGAGCACCACGTAATGATACCGCATGACCAATCAATAACTTCTCTAGATTGGAGTGGCTGCTTTTTATTATTATTGTATCTCTCAAATAAATTACTGTCTAAGACAAGAACTACACATTTTTTGTCTAATTAGGGCCCTTATGAGGAACGACAAAAGGGATCGCCTAGACCTTCATATTTTAACAAAATTTAGAGAATTGCAACTATAAATGAATATAATATCATGTTATTTCGAGTTCATATTATAATTATTTCAATACTAACTGAATGTATTAGTTTTCATGTTATTGTATTGTGTCATTTTCACTTCATGTCTGATTAATAGTTAAAAGTACCAAATGTATGATGAGATTATAAAAAATAAATTCACAATTTAAATTTCATAAAACTAATCTCCACTAAATAAAATTATTCATAAAATATTTTAATTTCAACACAATTGCAATTTCTTTTTGTAAAAAATAAAATAAACCTTATTATTATTATTATTTTACTTTCCTTTGCTCATAATTTTTTTTTTTTTTTTTTTTTGGATGTGGGCAACTTCAATTACATCAAGGTGGTTTGGTGAGCTTTTGATGGTGGGCCTATAGGTCTGCTACAACTTAAAAAAAAAAAAAAAAATTGAAATTGAAATTGAAATTGAAGAGAATTATTGAAAAAAAATTTGAAATCCGAAAGAAAAAATCTAAAATCTAAAAAAAAAATTGTTTTGAAATCTAAAAAAAAAAAAAAAAAAAAAGATTAAATGTATATTTAGCTTTGGTTGTGAATCTTAAAAATAAAAAAAAAGATGGTTGTGAACCTTAAAAATAAAAAATAAAAAAAAGATTGGAGGTATATTTAGCTTTGGTTGTGGATCTTAAAAAAAAAAAAATGGTTGTGAACCTTAAAAAAATAAATAAATAAATAAAAGAAAAAAGATTGAATGTATATTTAGTTTTGGTTGTGAATCTTAAAAAAAAAAAAAAAAAAAAAAAAATATAGACTGTAACAGCTCATTGGACATCTTTTTTTACTATTTTGGCTTCTGCCAGCCCCTGCACTGTGGATATTTAAAGAATATCACCTACCCTACCCAATGGATAAGAAAAAGAGGGGAAAACCCATGTATTTGGGTTGGGTCTTCATGGATACCCACAGGGTAGGTTATCCATTGCCATCCCTACATATAGATAGCAATTCTTGAGATTTTCTTAGAACATTTTTAAAAATAAAAATTATGCTATTGAATATGAAATGAGGAGGAAAAAGATGAGAGAAAACATTTTTGTAATAACCAAAAGGTTGTGTCGGTTAAGACTTAGAATTTGTAGTTTTTTTTTTTTTTTTTTCAAGATGCTAACTTCTTTTTAAACTTTACCCCTCGAGGAAATTACCTATTAGAGAAATTTTTTAAAATAAAAACACGAAAAAAATTATAATTTTATTTTTTAATATCTATATTGTTTATTACTAATCTAAGAATAATTATTCAAACCTCCACTGAAATTCCTCTTTCTTCTTGCTTTAATAAAGATTTCTTTTACTAATTTTTGATTAGCAAAAAATAAAAGATTTATTGATGAAAATAGCACTTTACATGCAAATTACATCAATAAAACATGGGAGTGCACAAAGTATCTAAGCTAACCTTCACAATCCCAACTAGGTTGGCACCGTAAAGGGAGTACAATTATTTGCTCGCACTAGACCCAAGATTATTGAGAAACCAATCAAGAACAACAAAAAGAAAAATAGAACAACACCATAGCATAACAGATAACAACAAAAACATTTCTGCAACACAACAAAACAACAACAAAACACTTTAGCAGCACAACATCACAGTAGCACAACAACAACATACAGCATCACAGCAGCATCATACTGCACCAGGCCTCATAAACAGCAGTATATAACATCAGGCTAGAACAACAGCAAACAGACCAGCCCAGAACATACAACAGCAAGCCTTGTATGCCATACAACCCATCACCAGCACCAACCACTGATTTTCCAACAGCAGCATACAAACATCACTAGACAACAGGGGCAACCTCTGTACACCAATACCAGACAACAACATACATATCATCTTCAGACACCAGCAGACCTCCTATACCAAACAACCTCTCACCTGCTTCAAATTTGCCACAATATCATGCACTGAGTACTTCACTCCCTTACAATTTGATTTCACCCAAAAAGCAACTCTAACTTTCAATAGCTCCACCATCTCTGTAAATTCCGCACTTCCATTATTAAACAAGCAATCATTCCTAAGTTTCCATACAGACCATAACATGACCATAGGCACAACCTTCCAAATATCCAATTCCTGCTTTCTCAATTTGATACCAGACTACCACTATAACAAAACATCCACTGAACCTGGAGTTACCCACTTTATCTCCTACCAATTTATGAACTTAGACCATAATTTCCAGATCAATGGACATAACAGTAGCATATGATTAATTGATTCCACCTTTGTCTTGCAAAACACACACAAAGAACTGACATTGACAGTTAGAGCTCCAATCCGTTGCATAAAATCTGCAGTCTTTATTCTTCATTTCCAGACTAACCAACTGAAAAACTGAACCTTTGGAGGAGCTGAATTTCTCCACAGGAACTTTGAAATGCTAAGCATGGGCCCATTAACTAATTCCAACCTTTTCCATACTGAAGCCACAGAAAGCACACCTGAATTATTGGCCAACCACAAACAGGTGTCCTCAGACACATGATTCAGATTAGGTGCCTCTGCTAATAACACATTCAGCCTTTGGACCTCCTTCTCCTCCCAAGCTAAGAGGGATCTTCTAAATACCAGGTTCCACTCACTATCCTGCCCTCTTCTTTGATAGAAAGTTTGCAGTGAGCCTTCCTTCTCAGTTGATAGACTGTACAATCTAGGAAATTCATTCCTGAGACTGATATTATTAAACCACCTGTCTGTCCAAAAATGAATCCTCTTCCCATTCCCCAAAATAATCTTGAAATTTTGTGAAAAAAACTCAACCACAACAATATTTGATGAGGCTATTGATACAATATCCTTCTACACCTTAGAAACCCTGTCATCTTCCACTGGTGCAGGACTTCACCTTCCCCCAGCACCACCATATCTACTACAGATCACCTGTTTCCATAGTGATTTATGTTCCGAACCATATCTCCACCACCATTTTAACATTAAACACACATTAACATCATTGAGACTCCTCACACCCAACCCCCCTTGAGCTTTACTTTTACACACCTCCTTCCAACTAACTAGGTGAATTTTCCTTCTAGTTTTGGAATCTGTCCACAAGAAGTTGGATTGAATCCCATCAATTGTTCTAGCAACACCAACAGGCATTTTAAATATGGATAAAAAAATACACTGGTAGACTTGACAAGACTAATTTAATTAGTGTCAATCTTCCTGCAAAGGACAAGAACCTCATCTTCCAAGATGCTAACTTCTTTTTAAACTTCTCCACCACTGGTTGCCATGCGCTGCTTCTCCTTGGATTTGCCCCTAGAGGTAAGCCAAGATATGTAAAAGGTAACCTCTGACTGAGGCAATTAAGTTTTGTAGCAAACTCCTTAACTAACCCCTCTTCTACACCAATTCCACAAACAATACTTTTATGAAAATTAATCTTTAGACCTGATATTATCTCAAAATACCTTAAAATTCTTTTAATCATAATGATTTCATCCCAAGTAGCTTCACAAAAAATAATGGTGTCATCTGCAAATTGTAAATGAGAAACTTTCAGCTCCTTATGACCAATTGAAGCTCCTTTGATCAACCCCTTTTCTTTTGCTCTCTCCAATAAAATATTTAGGCCCTCAGCCACTATATTAAAAAGGAAGGATGAGAGTGGATCACCTTGCCTCAACCCTTTTTGAGGAGAAAATTCTGCTGTAGGTGACCCATTCACAAGCACTGTTACCCTTGATGAATAAATGCACGACTTAATCCACCCCACCCATTTTGCACCAAACCCAAAGTTTTCCATCATTGATAGCAAAAACTCCCAATTAATTGAATTGTATGCCTTCTCATAATCCAGTTTAATAATGATTCCTTTTTTCCTTGCCTTCTTCCACCAATCCACCACCTCATTAGCAATTAAAACCCCATTAAGGATGCACCTACCACCAAGGAAAGCAGTTTGTACTTCACCTATGAGTTTAGGTAACACTTGAATTAACCTTCTAGATAACACTTTAGCCAACACTTTGTAAATTAAGCTAACCAAACTAATTGGTCTGTACTCACTCAAATCTGTGGGATTCTCCTTTTTAGGAATCAAAGTGATGAAAGAGCTGTGTTTACCCCTTTAGCCAACTTCCCATTACCGTGAAACTCAGAGAACAACTTAATGAACTCACCTTTCATTATAGACCAGCACTTTTGAATGCAATACAGATCGAAACCATCTGGCCCAGAGGCCTTATTTACATCACAAGCTTTAATGGTTGCCCAAATTTCTGCTTCACTGAACTCTGACTCCAGCACATCCTTTGAATCAGCAAGACTGATAGATGAGAAAGGACCTAAAAACTTAGGCCTACACCTCCAGTTTTCAGCAAACACTCTTCTGAAATGATTCTTCACTACTTGCCTGACCATACTTGGATCTTCAACCACAACACCATTTTCATTCACTGAGCCCAATAAATTTTTCCTCTGCCTATTACTTGCCATCAAGTGAAACAATTTAGTATTTTTATCTCCATTTTGTGCCCATGACATTCTGGACTTTTGTAACCACAACCTCTCATTTCTTCTACTGAGATTCCAAACTTGACTTCTAACCTCTCTTCTTTTTTTCACCTCTGATTCGAACAAGGGTCTGGATTCAGCTTTCAAGTCCCACTCATGTAATTCAACTTCACCTTTTTTAAGTTGATCATCAATATTTCCAAATACCTCCAGATTCCACCATCTTAGATGTGCCCTCAACCTTTTCAATTTATGTAGGATTCTGAAACTAGCCCATCCCGAAACCTGAGCCTCCTTCCAGACCTTTTTCATTTCATTCTTAAATTGAGGGTGTAATGACCATGTATTAATAAACCTAAAAGGTTTTGGCCCCTAATCCCTTGCATCCTCCATCAGTAGAACTGGGCAGTGATAAAAAATACCTCTGGACAATCCCCATTGTTTAAGTTTATACCTCTCCAACCAAGCAGGGTCCAGTAGAAACCTGTCAATCCTACTCCACCTATCCCCATCCATTGCATTACACCATGTGAATAATCTTCCTTGCATAGGTAAATCAGTTAATTCCAAACTATCAATGAAATTATTGAAATCTCTCATTCCCCTCTCCCTCCTTGAACACCCTTTCCTTTCACTAATACATCTAATTTCATTAAAATCACCACCCAAACACCAAGGATGGGGGAAAGACAATTTAAGATTAATAAGACTCTCCCATAATTGACTCCTCTTTAACACATCATTCAGAGCATATATATTACAAATAACACAATGGAACGATTCGGAAGAGATACCTGAAAGCATAATGAAATTCCTTGAACTATAGTAATCAATCAACTCAAAAATCTATGTATTCTAAATACAAAGCAAGCCACCTGCACTTCCCTTTGCATCAACCTCCACAAAACCCATTTCCACCCTTGGCCATAAGGATTTTACAAAATTACTGTCTACACTATCTCTCTTCGTCTCTTGTAGCATCAAAACATCGACTTTTCTTTCCCTTACCAATGCTTTAATTTTACTTATTTTTTCAGGTCGTCGAAGACCTCTAACATTCCATGACATGATCTTCATTAACACCAACATCACAGCTCCTAATCTCCTTTATAATCCCAACAGCTTAAGCCATCTCACCCCTCCCTTCAACTCTTTCCAAATCTTTTTCCTCCAACTCAACTATTCTTCTCACCATTTCATCTTCTTTCCCTTCACAATTTAACCCTAATAATTTCCCCATCTCAATCGTTGCTTAAGCTTCATTAAGCAACTTTCTTGTATTTTTTGAATTGCTACTTTGAGACACTGATAAGGATATGGCTGCTGCTATCGCTCTAAGTATTGCCCTATTTTTTAGACAATTATTAAATAACAGCCCATTCTGGTTTGAATGTGCACCCTTCCTCCTTCTTCCTTTCCTCTGTTCAGTGCCTTTCATCTTTAGATCGTCCTTTCTCATTGTTCTAGCAGTAGCCCTCTGCAATGGGCCATCCCTCTGTTGTTTATCCTTGAAGGCTGAGTTCTCCACTGTAGACAAAGCCTTGGACTGGGCTATACAGTCACTCAAATTTGAATTAACCACCCTCCTTGGCCTATTAGTCATAGGCTCAAATTGGGCTCCATTTAACACAACTTCTAAATTGATATTGGGCCTGCCACACTCTAATCCATTCAAACTATTCATATAGCCAATAGTGCAAATCTGATCATCTACCTCTTGAGCCCCCCATTCTCCACTATTCTTGAACAGACCACTTGCACCACCCCTATTTCATTAGTGCAGCCCCCAACGTTTGGTTTCCCTAGAGCACACTCAGTTTCTTTAACCACTGAACCAGGCATACAATCATTACCTCCATCTACATCATCTGACAGCCCTTCCACTGTGTGATTTCCATTGATTGACCCTTCAACACTTTTTGCCACATCATCCTCGTCATCCTCCTCTGCAGATTTACCACCTTCCACTACCTTCATCTCTATTTTCATCTGTCTCCGTATGTGTAGCATCATCCTGACCCCTGTTTTTGGAAAAGTGATCGACCTCATGTGGCAAATTAGATTCCATGACTTCATTTTTCTGGTAGCTATAATTGCGATTACACTAACAGTTATTGACTACTAGGTCTTCATACACTCCCACTTATTGAACCAACTAAGGCATTCACATTGACTAACAAGATTAACAGACAGATTAACCTACAAATTAACAAAGGCATTCCTTACCAATCAGGTTAACAAGGCATTCACATTTTCTTTGTTTTTCTTCCTGTTTATGGGGTTCTCATTGCCTTAAAGACCTGACTTAGGCAGCCCAGGAAAAAGGAAAAAAGAATTTGTAACGAAGTAAGTGAAATGCTCTTACCCACGCCACCTGGCTGCGTCTCCTCCACCACTGTTTGTGTATCATCTGGTGGCTGTGTCTCATCAGATAACGTCAACGGGGTGCCAATAACTGCTGGTGGACATGCTTCAGAGCCTGATAATACGTTGCCACTTGTTGCTGTCTTCCGCCGCCCCGTCTTCATACCAGGAACCATGGTACCTACATAAGTAACCAGTTGGAGCCTTGTATTAAGTAACCAGCAGACTAACCATGAATAGAAACATCCCAACTCAGATTAACCAGCAGATTAAGCAACCAGCAGATTGACAAGATTAACAACCAGCGACAGCAGCCAGAGACAGACCAAAAAAACTTATCAAGATTAACCAGCAGATTCACTATGATTCACTATGAATTTGCTTCAGTAAATCTGCCAGCAGATGAGTAAACAGCAGCAAACATACATAAATCTGACTTCACTATGAATTTGCTTTTCAATTTTCTGCCAAAGTTCATACAAATTGTATAGGAAGTTAATTACAAGGGTATTAAGTCCATAGAATATGAATGTAGTGCACCACCCCTATTTCATTAGTGCAGCCCCCAACGTTTGGTTTCCCTAGAGCACACTCAGTTTCTTTAACCACTGAACCAGGCATACAATCATTACCTCCATCTATATCATCTGACAGCCCTTCCACTATGTGATTTCCATTGATTAACCCTTCAACACTTTTTGCCACATCATCCTCGTCATCCTCCTCTGCAGATTTACCACCTTCCACTACCTTCATCTCCATTGTCATCTGTCTCCGTATGTGTAGCATCATCCTGACCCCTGTTTTTGGAAAAGTGATCGACCTCATGTGGCAAATTAGATTCCATGACTTCATTTTTCTAGTAGCTATAATTGCTATTACAATAACAGTTATTGACTACTGGGTCTTCATACACTCGCACTTGATAAGTCCTCGCCTTTCCTACTAGATTAATCACTGTAACTAAGATGGGCAAGTCAATTAGGGCTCGATAAATAATTTTAATTCACTTCTTTCGACTATAACATCACTCGAAATAGGACTACTAATATATATGCAATTAGTGAGGACCTGATTTAACAGATCAACTCATAAGACCCATAACTCAGTGAAATTGAAACCCACCCCCACTAGTGGCCCAAGACAAAGATCTTCTATAAAAGGTCAAGAAATGGACTGTGGAGGTAAAAATTATCCCACATATATTAATCAAGAGATTAATAAAGAATTGAGCCACACCATTCCTAATTTGCAAAAAGAATAAACAGTTAGTGCCTCCTGACCAACGGTTGTCGGCTGAAAGGCACTCTGACGATCAAGTTAGATAGCTTATATCTAAATCAAATTGAATAAGTAAATAGAATAGTTTAGGCATACCTCCTCCCCTAGAGTTGAAGATTACATCCCTTTATATAGGCTAACTTGCCACTCGTTTTGTCTAATGAGGTTAAACTACCAGTTTGGTCTAATGAAAATGAGCCACTTGTATGGCTAAAAATTCATCTGATGCATATATGCCAGAACAACTTGGCGAGTTGGCAAGTTGCATTTCAAGGTGTTATTTTATTATCTTGATTCTATTCCCATGTACGCATTGTGTGGGCCCACCTCACATGGGTTAAGTTTTATCCCTCCACAATTGCCCTCAAGTTTTTGTTTCTGTTGATCGACGTAAGAAGATGTGAAAACTTTTCTTATCTCTGGTAGACTCTTGTACCTTTGTTAGTTCTATAATCAAGGTAGTATTCTATCCTATACTTGTCATAAATTGGCTTTATTTGCCTTTATCTTGTAGAATGTGAATATTTTTCACGTACCCTCCGATCTTTTTTGTGTGATACCTTTGATTTTGCAATCATTCTAACGTGGTCACTTATTTTATGTATGTTATCTTTCTTGTTTTTCCAATCTACTGCTTTTGACAATTATGTTGCTAAGACCATCATAGGTCTTTTATTCCCTCGGCTAGATAAGATGATGACCTAGTCGCTGAACTACTGCCCTTAAGTAGACTTTAATAGTAGATGCTCATAGGTTTTCCCTTGCCCCAGGCAAGATAAGCTGACAACCTAGTCGTCAAACTACTACCTTTAAGTAGGCTTTGAGAGTAGACCTTCGTAGGTCTTTCCTTGCTTTTGTTTGGCAGTTGGCTTTGATGTGTTGTTTGGTCTTCCATCACCCTTGATATTGTACAAGCATGGAATGTGTCGGAGAGATTGACTTTTGTACTGATTGATGGTTTTCTATGAGAGCCAAGCATACTCTTTTGATCCTAGTGTTGATAATACTGCTCAATATGCCTAGCTTGGCTAGGACTTTAGTGTTTGATGCCTAGTAAGACCAAGGCTTACTCATTCTTTGATGCTTAGCTTGGCTAAGGCTTAATTTTTGATGCATAACTCAGCTAAGGCTTACTCAATTTCTAATGCTTAGCTCGGCTAAGGCTTATTTAATTTCCGATGCCTAGTAAGACTAGGGCTTACTTATTTTCCGATGCTTAGCTCAACTAAGGCTTACTCATTTTTTGATGCTTAGCTCAGCTAAGGCTTACTCAATTTTCAGTGCCTAGTAAGACTAAGGCTTACTCAATTTTTGATGCATAACTCAGCTAAGGCTTACTCAATTTCTAATGCTTAGCTCGGCTAAGGCTTATTTAATTTCCGATGCCTAGTAAGACTAGGGCTTACTTATTTTCCGATGCTTAGCTCAACTAAGGCTTACTCATTTTTTGATGCTTAGCTCAGCTAAGGCTTACTCAATTTTCAGTGCCTAGTAAGACTAAGGCTTACTCAATTTTTGATGCATAACTCAGCTAAGGCTTACTCAATTTCTAATGCTTAGCTCGGCTAAGGCTTATTTAATTTCCGATGCCTAGTAAGACTAGGGCTTACTTATTTTCCGATGCTTAGCTCAACTAAGGCTTACTCATTTTTTGATGCTTAGCTCAG